AAATTATTATTATTATTATTAAATTGATTAATTAATTATTATTAAAATTATATATATTTAATTACAATTTAAATTAATATATTTTAAAAATGTAAAACATCAAATTATATATTTTTTAAATATATTACAAATTATTAATGGAAAAATGAAATGTACACACACAATTAATACAATTAAATGAAGACCTCAGAAATGAAATAAAAACTGAAAATTCTACACTGGTCAATCTGTTGGTAGATTTCAGAGGATCCCTGATGGAGACTCTGGGTTAAAATGGTAAGCACTTCCCTTTGAAGCTGCTTGAAAATCAAGTAGAACCAGCTGGAACATTTACATTTAGTCATTAAGCAAATACTTTTATCCCATCACAAGCAATTTATCATAAGAGCCAAAAGTGAGTCACTGGACTGCATGAGGCTGATTTGTTACTCGCCAGCTTGATAATGACCAGCTATCATGTTTCTGTTTTATTTAAAATGAAACAAAATAACTTAAAATTAAGAAAAAAGTAAAACAAACAAAATAAAAATATAATAAAAAAATAAAAATGTAAAATTTATTTTCAAAACAAATGTAAAATTACAATTATTTAAAACTAAAACAAAAAATGTACAAATTAAAATAATTAAAAAATTAAAAATGTTGAATTAAAATAATTTAAAACTAATACAAAACTTTTTACATTAAAATAATGTTAAAACAAAAATTTCAACAATTCTTTAAAAATATAACATTTAAAATTAAAGGAAATAATTTTAAAACAAAACATAAAAATGTAAAATTAAAATAAATGATTTTAAATGAAATGCAATCAAAATAAAACACTTTCTAAAAACTTCTCATTTGACCAGTAACAAACATTGCTACAAAAACAATAAAAGAAATATTATAATCTTACCTTATACACAATTAGTCTCGTTGTGGAAACTGAGCACATTCCCCTGCAATTCTAATTACTGCAATGGGGAAAAATATATTATCATTACTGTCAGTTAACAAATGTAAAATGTCAAAGAAAAATATTCAAAAGTTGTCTAAATACATTGCAATAATATTTATAATAATAACACACACACACTCTCACACACACACACGCACACACACACACTCTCACACACACACACACACACACACACACACACTCATTATTATCAATGTTGAAAACAGTTCTGCTGCCCAATATTTTTGTGGAAACCGTGATATATTTAAACAAAAAAACAAATTTGACAGTTGTGCTGCCCAATATTTTTACGATACACTACCATTCAAAAGTTTGGGCTATGATTTAAATAAATAAATAAATAAATGAACACTTATATTCATCAAGGATGCATTACATTCATCAAAAGTGACAGTGAAGACATTTATAATGTTATAAAAGATTTCAAATAAATGCTGCTCTTTTGAACTTTCTATTCATCTGTGAATCCTGAAAAATAAAATATATCACAGTTTCCACAAAAATATCGTGCAGCACAACTGTGTTCAACATTGATAATAATCAGAAATGTTTCTTGAGCAGCAAATCAGCATATTAGCATATAAAATATATCACAGTTTCCACAAAAATATTGTGCAGCACAACAGTTTTCAACATTGATAATAATCAGAAATGTTTCTCGAGCAGCAAATCAGCATATTAGAATGATTTCTGAAGATCATGTGACACTGAAGACTGGAGTAATGATGCTGAAAATACAGCTGCGCATCACAGAAATAAATTACAATTTAACAGATATTCACATAGAAAACAGCTGTTTGAAATTCTAATAATATTTAACATTTTTTGTATTTTTTCTGTATTTTTGATCCAATGCCTTGGCGAGCAGAAGAGACTTCAATAATCTGAATTATTCCACACTACTGTAGGTGTATTACAGCAGTGTGAGCGCAACAGCAGATATTTTACTCAAACATCTGGAGCGTTTCTTTGACCTCGAGGAGCTTGACGTGATCTTGAGCGTCACAGATGTGAATCAGCCGAAGCGTGAGACGACTTCAGGCGCGAGCTGCTGGATTACAGTATTACAGCACAGATGACACGTCTGACCCCGGGGTCGCGTCGCCATGGCGATCGGGGTCTCAATTGCTGCATCAGCATCTTCACAGCTGATCAGATGGATGCAGATGGGCTTGATGGTGGTTCAGCTTTGCTTTTGCAACCCTAGCAACCACCCAGAACATCCTAGCAACCATAAAGCAATTTTGACTTTAAATAATTCTGTTACTCTGTGCTAGGATTTTCCGAAACTGGGGTTCATGAGTACATGGAAATACTGTAATAAATTCAACAATAAAACTATGAAATTAAAATGAATAATTTTAAAATAAAACTTTAAAAAAATGTACATAGCTTTAATTCATTTTAAAGTTTTACTTACTTTTAGGTAAACCTGTTTCAGTTAGTTGCAAAGGAAACATTTCTAAGTTGTATTTAAGTTTCGTAAGTTAAATCATATATACAAATGTAAAAGTAGAATTTAAAAATTAAATAAAATTAAAATAATTTAATGTAAATTAAAACAAAAACGACATATTAAACCAAATAATTTAAAAATAAAACAAAAAATCTATATATCTTTAATTTATGGTTATTTCAGTTGTAGTTTAGGTAATTTTAGTGCTTAAACCTATTTCTGTTATTTGCCACATTTCTAATTTTTGTTATATTTTGTGAGTTAAATCATTTAGAAATCAAATACAAAAAAATATGAAATTAAAATACAAATTAAAACAATAATGTAACATTAAGATAAATTATTTAAAATAAACAATTTAAAAATAAAACAAAAATAAAATGTGAAACAAATTTAAAATTAAAATAAATATTTTGAAACAAAACAAAAAATGTAGAATTAAAATAAATTACTTAGAAATAACAAAAGTAAAATAAATTGAAGTTTGAAATTTTTGAAGAAAAATTAAAATATAAGATAAAAAAATAAAATAAAACATTAATTTGAAAATAAAATAAATTATTTTTAAATAAACAAATGTAAAAAAATGATAATTTAGAAATACAAATAAAATAAATTTAAGCAAAATGAAAATATTAAATTAAAAAATGTATTTTTAAATAACTAATTTTAACTTAAAATAAATTATTTTAAAATAAATGCGAAAAATAATATGAATAATTTAGAAATAACAAAAAATACATTTAATAGTTTTCTGAAGCCAAATAAAAATATAAAATTAAAATAAATAATTTAAAAATAAATCAATTAAAAAAACAACACTTACTAAAAAGATGAAATATTGTATTCGTTAACCTGCATGCCACGTGACCATTAACCAGCCTCAAAGAGACGTGAGCATGCATGTGTTGTTGAATTATGACGTATAGTAAATATTTGAGCTCAGTTTGTGAATCTGGACTAACCCGCCGTGTTCCTGCCGCAGGTGAGAGTTACGTCTGCGCCTCAAACGAGCCCTACAGGAAGGTAGACTACACCAAGAACGTCAACCCTAACT